ACAATGTCTAAAATTGTGGGTTTTTTAAAGGACAGAATTAAAATAATCGACACGGTAGGTTGTAAGTCAGAAAGAGTGATCAGGATGTTTCAATAGCTCACGATTTAGGACAGAGCATTAAGATATTGCTCAACCCTAGGTTTTGTGAAGTTAAATACATATGGTAAGTTAAAGAATGGTTCTAGAATTCAGCACCCATCAGAATCACCTGGGAGGCTTGTTAAAATACAGATTACTGGACCCACCCCTCAGAGCTTCTGCTGCAGGAACGCTGCGGTGGGTTCCTAGAATCTGCATCGCTAACCAGTTCCCAGCTGTTGCTGATGCTACTGGCCCAGGGGCCCCACTTTAAGAACCACTGAACCAAAAGCAGAGAAATCGGGTGCTTCACTTCCAGACCAACAAAAGTGGGGAAAGGCAATGAGAAAACGAACAAAACCTTCCGTCTAATGCAGCTCTGTGCAGGAAAGAGATCATATGAGCCACATACGTAATTTTAGATTTTTTGTAGACACGTTAAAAAGTAAAACTGGTGAAATGAATTTTAATAATATATTTGATTTAACCCAATATTACCCAAATATTATCGTTTCAAGATGTGATCAATATAAAAATTATTGAGATTACTTTTTCTTCTTTTCTTGGACAAAGTCTTCAAAATTCAGTGTATATTTTATACTGCAGAGGCTTCTCAGTGTGGACGAGCCACATAATAGGTGGTCAATGGCCACGTGTGGCTTGTAGCTACCCTCCTGGACAGAGCCGGTTAGACTGCAAGTGATAGGAGCCTACAGAGGACAGAGGCCCCCACTCAGCCCCTGAGCACCCTCTGTATGCTGAGCACTTAGACCATCATACATCACCTCATTCAGTCCTCACTTAGACCTGTGAGATTAGACATTATTATCATCCCATTTCATAGATGGTAAAAGTGAGGCTGAGAACATTCAAAACACTTCCCCAAGAGAAGCAGAAGAGCCGGCATTCAAACCCAGGTCTCTCATATTCCAGTGCCAACCTCAGAACCTCACAGTTTCTGTAAAGCATTTTCTGTAACAGACCAGAGAGTAAATATTTTAGGCTCTTGGGACCAGACAATCCATCTGGTGGGAGAAGGTAGAACCTCTTCTTCCAGAGTCAACCTCGGTCCTCCCGGTGTTCGGAAGGATCCAGACTGACGGGTCTCTTGGCGACACCTCCTCAGACTCTGATAAGAGAGAGGTTCAGCCGGCCTCTCTAACTCACTGCTTGACTATAAATGTGAGTTATTCTCACTCGTAGGGCTGAGACAGAGGGGAAATAAAAGCGAGGATTGATGGAATCCCAGACATAAAATCTGGCACCATATGCCTGCATTTTAGAAATTACCTTTAATTAAAAAAATAAATAAATAAATAAATAAATAAATAAATAAATAAATAAATAAATAAATTACCTTTAATTAATGGTTTATGACCCCAAAGACGCCCCCCTCTTCAGGCCTTCTGCAGTGTCGACTTGGAGCTCAGTCCTGGGTGGTGAGGTGGGGGAAGGGGGTGTTGAAGGAGTGGGGTGGTGAATGGCTGTCTTTCTTCAGAAACCAAAATGTGTGGTTTGCTCATAGGACCCCAGGTCGGCCTCTGGCAGTCCTCGAGCCTGGGCGCCCTAAGGAATGTGAATTGAAAGCCAGCTCTCCGCACCGGCCTGAGGCCTGTGAGCTACAGAGTGACCCACACATATTCACACGCTCAGGAAAACGCACACACCAGGAAGTTTGCTTTTTCTCTTTGTCCCCTTATCTGTCATTCCCTCCCCACCCTCCACTCATTCTCTCCTTCTTCCTGATTCTCTTCATGTCTTTGTTGTTTCTGTGGCCCTATTTCCCTGCCGAAGCCTTGCTCTTTGAGTCTCTCTCTCCAACTCTCTCTCTCTCTGACTTTTGCTGCCTGTCTCCTTCCTCCTTCCCTTGCCACTTTTATAGCCTTTACTTGGGGAGGCCTAGCCAAGCGCCGCCCCCCCTGGGCATGGGATAGACAAGCCCACCCTCACCTCACAGGGAGCCCCGCCTCTCCCACCTGGACCAGGTGGGAGTCCTGCTGGGACGATGCACTTCTGCCCAGGTGGGGGACCCCTAAGCACCTGAGCTGAACTCAAGCCACGTTTCACCCCAGGAAGGCAGCGGGACTGAGGCAAGTACTGAGTGCCTACTATAGCTTCACATTCAGAATTTATACTAGTCATGAACCTGGGAGGTAGATAGTATTATTATTATACCCATTTTATAGATGGGAAAACTGTGACTTTAAGAGGTCAAGAAATTGGCCCAGAGCCAAGGGCTGTTCAACTCCAAAGCCTCTTTCCACAGGCCCAGTCCAAATGGACAACACGGGCTGTGTCTTGGAATTTCAGGTAACCAGATGTGGTGACATTTAACTCTCATCTTCCCAGAAGCAAGTGACAGAGACAGGACTCAGTCACAGGAACAGCATAGAGACTCTCAGCTCTTTCCAAGCCAGGGAGGACACACCCGCATTGTGTGCCAGAGGTTCACACCTGTAGGACCCAATCAGAAAGGCTTCCCTGCAAGCCAAGCCTGTCCTGGGGAGCCAGGGACCAGCAGGAGGGACACCGAGGCTGGGGACAGGCAGCTGTCTCACCAGGCAGAAACTCGGGGGCCCCCACGGAGGGCTGCAGAGGAAGCTGCTGGTTCCACATTCCCGGGCGTCATGGCAACATGAGCTCAGACCAGCGACCTGCTTGTGGTGCTCTGTGCCATCTGCCGTTTCTCTGGGGGCAGGGAAGAGGCCTTGCACCTACCCAGCATCCCCAGTCATAGAGTCCCCAGAGCAGTCCTGGGAGGGAGGCAGGTGGCAGGGAGGCATGATGCCAACCTTAGGGTGTTGGAAATGGAGGCATGAGGCATCGTGGCTGCCCACCTGAGTTAGGTCACTCTGCCCAGTGCCCTGCTGGACCAGGGGTGGCATCCTCCTGGCCAGCAGCTGTGGGCTTCCAAGGGCTCTTGGCTGAGCAGCTAGAGTCCCCCAGCGTTGGGGGGAAAGGTTCTGGCAGAGCTAGATGCGTGTATGGCCCCCAAGCGGATACAGCTGTTTCCAAAGAGTTTATATGGCAGGGGCAGGGGAGGGGTGAAGGAACTGGGGAGAGGAGCCTTGTCACTAGGAAAAGATTTCTATGTGTCCATTTCAAAAATAACGTACCTCAATGCAGGGAACCTGGGACACAGGAAAGTGTGCATACACTCGCAAATACCCTTGCACACTCACATGTGCACACTCACGCACAAAACAATCACACACACACGCTCACACACAATTAACCCTCACCCCTTCCCAGACGCAGACTTTTAACATTTATCCAACTAGTATATGTATAAATGTATAAATATACATATATACACACAATTAGAGTTCTACATCGTAGAATCGTGTACATATCATTTTAAAAAAACAGTTGGGATTACGTTGTACCTGCTGTCTTGTACTGTCCTTTTTTGCTTGGCAGTAGATTACGAACATTTTCCCATGTTAAAAGTATTCTCCAGGGGCGCCTGGGTGGCTCAGTCGGTTAGGCGACTGCCTTGGGCTCAGGTCATGATCCTGGAGTCCCGGGATCGAGTCCCGCATCGGGCTCCCTGCTCGGCAGGGAGTCTGCTTCTCCCTCTGCCCCTCCCCCCTCTCATGCTCTATCTCATTCTCTCTCTCAAATAAATAAAATCTTTAAAAAAAAGTGTTCTCCAGTGACACATTTCTCATTAATCACATATATTCCAATATATGAATGGGACATCGTTCATTCAGATGAACTCCCATCAATAACCACTTGTACTGTTTCCTACTTAATTTTTCCAATTTTTGTTATAAATGTATGCATGTTTATTGTGGAACTTTGATGATACGCAAAAGTATAGCAAGAGGAAGTTAAGCTCATTCTTCCTGGCACCCAAGCTCAGTAACTGTAAATATCTGTGTGACTTCACACACACTGTTGTAACCACGTGCCTGACTTGATGGATAAGCGTTTTTTACATCGTTATAATTTACAACGTACAGTATTGGCAGGGTCCTTTCTAACCAGGCTTCCTTTTTTTAATACTTGTCATTTCTTGTGGTGTTGAGTTTGTGTGGGCGTTGATTTAACCCTACTTTAGAGAAAGAGGCTTTCCATCTCAGTCAAGGTCGCCCTGAACCCGGTCCGTTCATCAGGTGTGTCCGACCATGGATTGAAGAGTAGGCATGGGAAATGCTGGGGGATAGACATTTTCATCTATGAGGGGCTACTCTGGAAACAGGTTTCGGTGTGTTAAGGAATGGAGCTGAGGCTCCATGTAGCCTAAGAAAATAAATCACCCAGTCACCCAGAGATGACTGCCACTGCATTGATTACAATAGCGAAAAATGGGGAACAGCCCATGCCCAGCAACAGGAGGCAGGCGAGATCAATGAGAAAGCATCCTCTGATGAATCCTGTGCCGTCAAAAGATAGCACAGATCTCTACGGAGATGGAAGGATGTCCTCCACGGTGTAAATGAGAACGGCGTATTACGAAACGGAGAGCGTTGTGTCTACGCATGGGTCTGGGTGTGCTTGGAAGCGTGGGTGTGTGTGTGTTTGGAAGCATGGGCATTTGTGTATCCCAAAGAATATTTAACTAAAACTAACAGCTGCTGTCTCTGGGTGGCGTGGGATTTGGGGCGATTTTCACTTTGTTTTATTTTCATTCTTTGTTGGATTAAGTTTTAAAAAGTCTGTTCTTTTGTCCGGGAGGGGGTGGGGGACAGATTACTCTTGTAATGGGGGAGGGGCAGCAAAACAAAACAAAAGCCATTTTGATTTTGGAAAGAAGAAATGCGCGAGGGGGAGACATCCCCGCCCACCTCCTGCACCCTGGGAGTGCAGCCTGCCCAGTCCCTGCCTCCCCCCACACCCCCTAGGAGCCCCCCGCCTCAGCTCCTTCCTCAGCCCCCTCCCCATCTTCCCACCAAGTTTGCAATTGTGTGTTGCAGATTCCGACAGCCAGTGCAGCCCCACGCGGCAGAGCCTCAGCCTGTCGGAGGGCGAGGAGCAGATGGACCGGCTGCAGCAGGTGGAGCTGGTCAGGACCACCCCCATGTCCCACTGGAAGGCCGGCACTGTCCAGGCCTGGCTGGAAGTGGTCATGGCCATGCCCATGTACGTCAAGGCCTGTGCGGAGAACGTGAAGAGCGGGAAGGTAGGGCACCTCCAGGATCCCAGCGGGAATGCCCCCTCTCCCTCCTGTGAACTTTACCAACCCAGAGCTGGCCTGCTCCACCTCAGCCCCGCCCCCCAATCCCGGGGTGAGGAGGAGATGCATTCTAGGAGCCAGCTGTGCTGGGTTCAGGATCCAGTGTCCACAGTAAATCGTCACGTCTCCCCGGCAAGGCACATAGCCCTCTGAGTCTCAGCTTTTGCATCTTTAAATTGGGCCTAACCTGCCCGTACCTGACTGACGGGGGGCAGGACCGGGCTAGAGGGCTCGACTGGCCAGGATGTGATGCCACTCACCTCCTGGAGCAGAGCTGCACTAAGTGCTCTGCCTGGACTGCAGAGAAGGATGGGCAGGGAGACGGGCGGGCGCTGGGGTCCAGCCTCATACTAGCAGACCCCTCCGGGGCTCGGCCACAGCCAGCAGCAGGTCCTGGCAGCCTCGGGTGCCCACCCCACTCCCCCTTCTGGGCGCTCAGTCCTCACCTTCCTACGGAGCAGGTGCTGCTGAGCCTGAGTGACGAGGACCTGGAGCTGGGTCTGGGCGTGTGCAGCTCTTTGCACCGACGCAAACTCCGGCTGGCCATCGAGGACTACCGCGACGCCGAGGCGGGCAGGAGGTGGGTCGGCACGCCCGGGCACCCCGCTCGGGCTGCGCCTCCAGGGAGAAGGGAGAAGAGTCCACCCCGAGACCTCCAGATCACACGGTGGGGGCGAATGGACACTGCAGGCTGAGCCAGGGATGGGGGATGGTGGGGTGTGCCCAGGAATGCCACCGGCCAAGGGCGGCCAGGTGCATCCCAGTCCCGCTCTGGGCCAGGCCTCCCCGTAGAAAGATGGAGCTACAGGGAATCAGTGAGGCCCCAGTGCCCCATGATCCCCGCAGCCAGGAGGCGGCGGGGCGGCCTCGTGCGCCCCCAGAACTTCTCTATCTCCGAGGGCCAGCCGAAGCAGGTCTGGGAATTCGGCCAAAATGTCTGCTCTGTCTACTTCCACCTCAACCCCAGCTCTACCAGCTCAGGGGGAGAAAGGATGGAGTAAGACAGGGAGAAGTAGAATGAGACAAAGAAGAAATGGACGTGAAGGGCTTTATTGCCACATCTCCCCCAGAGGATTAGGGCCGGCTGGGAGGGGGATCCGTTAGCAAGCACACCTGGGAATGGGCGGAGGTTCCTCTCTTCAGGTGTGTCCTGCTCTCATTGTGAACACCTTCCCCCACAACCCCCACCTCTGTCCTACCTCCTGCCTGCCTCCCTCCCTTCTGACCTTTTGTGAGCAGGATTTGTTGGTGGGGGGAGCTCATTCACCAAGCAAGCGCCAGGGAAACCAGAGCACCCCCCTCGGTCCTCAGCGTGCAGAGGGGAAGAAAGAACGATCGAGCATAGTAAATCTGACACTTTCTGTTTTGCATAATTATCTCCTTCACTGGTTTCCCCATCATTTTTGTGCAGTTAATTAATCAGACCTGGTGGTGTGTGCTATTATTTGCAGAAGCCGCTTTATGGATTAAAAAATGAGGGGGCTAAGGCTGGGAACTCAGGTTAGTTTGGAAGCAGAAAACCCAATGCTTGTGTGTCCTGGAGAGGGGCCCTTGGCATGAATCCTGGGTGGCAGCAAAGACATGTGAGATCAGATCAGAAACTCGGGTAGCAACCCAAAGCAAGCAAAGCAAGAACGTGCCAGCCTTGTCAGCAAATCAGGACCCTGAGGGACGGGGTTGGGGGTGAAGGAGTGGGGAGGAGAGTGATGGGCGGGGGAGGGGAGCAGCGGGCATGAGCTTGCTTTCTCGGAGGGCTTCTCCTCCTTAGGGTCCCACAGGCACCTCACACTCATCACCCACTTCTAACCGGTGCCTCCCCCCTCCTGAATCCTCTGCCACCCAAGCTGGAGACCCCTCCTGCCCCCTTGTCCTACTCCCAATGTGGTCAGTAAACGCTGACCATTGAGCAGGGTGGGGCTGCCTGCTTCACCCCGCAAAAATGCAGGATCCCTGCCCAGGTTCGCCCAAAACATGACTGCCCCCGAGAACCTCTAGGAACCAAGATGCTACAGCACCTACAAGGGGATGTGAATGGATGTGAACGGAGTTTTAAAAATTCTGAGAGCTGAGATCAGGACCGTCTCCATGGATCCTGTGTCTCCCGCATTAGACACCCCCAGGCTTCCTGCAGGAGGGAGGGGCTCATTCCCTGTGGAAATCCGGCCTGTCTCTAACTTGCCGTGGGCTTGCTCTCTCTGGCGCTTGTAGTTTCTCCAGCTGTGAAGTGAAGAGGGTTAAATTAGAACAGCAGTTCTTATAACCTTTGGAGACCACGGCCACTCTGAGAATCTAATAAACACTGTTGACACTTTCCCCAGAGGAGATATACAAAACCTCACAACTCTGCATTCTGGGACCCTTTGACTCACTCCCGGAACTTTTAGGGGCCCATGAACTCTAGGGTAAGAGCCCCAGTGAGGTCATCTTCAAGAACACATCCTCTGTGGCTTTGGGAATGACATTGCCCTCTCCGGGCCTGGTTCCCCTTATCTCTAAAATACCGCAAAATCCACCAGCCCCATCACCAGTCATTTTATGCACATGATTTTATTTAATCGTCACAACATCAATGTGGGATAGACATTCTTACCCCCATTTTAAAGACGGAGAAAGTGAGGCCCGGAGAAATCATGGGTGCAAAGTCATGCTACAAAATACCTAACTTCAAAGTCAGTCCCCTTTCCATTATCCTGCATCGCCTCAACATTAAAAACATCGACAACCCCGGCTACTCGTATTTACGGAACACGGAATGCACCCCCAGACTCTGTGCTAAGGGTTTCACATTCTCTTATCCCGTTCAGCCCTCACAGCTTCTGTGAGGCAAGCATGATTAGCCTCATTTTGCAGGTGAGGATGCTGGGGCACAGAGACACAAGGTCCCGGAGCTAATGGTGATGGAGCCAGAATGGCCTCGTGTTTTCTGTGTTGAATCATGACCCAGATGATATCTAAATTCTGTGCCCAAACTCAGATTTCGGGGTCTAATCCGGCCCCAGTTTGGGGCGGGGACAATGTCAACTTTTATAAAACATCTGAATTACTTTTGAAGTCGTGCCGTCTTGTTCAACTTGGGCGCTTACAATAGCTCCAACCAACAGCTGGGAAAGTGTTGCCAAGCCGAGGCCCCATGGGGACAACTTTAATGAAAAGAGAACCGTTTTGAAGGGCAGGAGCGCATTAATTGTCAGCATGCAGACGGATATTGCTGATGTAAATGGCTTCCCTCAAGTAGGTTCAGCTGGTGCCCCTCCCCCCACACCATGCCACGTCTCGTTGTACCATTGATTTGCTGAACTCCCTCAGAGAGGAGGGCTTCTGGTCCCCATCAGTGACAGCCCTAGCCCCAGGGCATCTGATCGGAGGGATGGCCGGGAGCTCCCACACCTGCCCGGGGCTAGACAGCCTTGACTGTGGCTGATGGTCCTGGGAAGGGCGGCTCTGAAGTGAGGGCCTCAGGAGGGGCTGGGAGGGGGCCCACCTGGGACTTTTTCTTCTTAAAGGGAGCTTGTCTTGGGTCAGAAGTTTCCAACACAGGAGCTTCGTCCTGCGTGGCTTCCTGGTGGACTAGAGTCAATGCCCCGCTTGCCCAGCCTTGATTTATCTTCTGTGCATTTATAGAACAGAAGCTGGGGAGCCAGGTGGGGTCCTGCCCTCCAGGAGCTGGTGGTCTGGCCAGATGAGCCGCAGGGTGACGAGTGCAGGGATGGGGACTCCTGGGGGGGCTCAGGGAGCAGAGAGGGGCTCTGACCCAGCCCACGAGGGCCCTGGAAGGCTTTGGGGAGAGCGAAAGCCCAGCAGAGCCCTGTAGCAGTCAAGCAGGTGAGGAGGGAGGCGTTGGGTGGACCACGGCCAGGAGACGAGGAGGGCCTGGCCTTGGGGACAGACCCCAGCTGTCCTGGGTGGCTGAGGGGCAGGAGGAGACCGCATGAAGCTGGGAGCCCACCCTTCCTTTCCTTGGCCCCTCTTCCAGAAAAGCATCTGCTGTGTGTTGAGCATGAGGCTGGCTCTTCGGCAAAGAACATAGTCTCTGAGCTCAGATCAATTCATTTTTGAAAGTTCCATGTGTGACTGACTAGTGCTTTGAAGGAAATACTTAGAGGCAGAGTACAGGCTAGGGGGCAACTTTATTTATTTTTAAGATTTTATTTATTTATTTGACAGAGACACAGCGAGAGAGGGAACACAAGCAGGGGGAGTGGGAGAGGGAGAAGCAGGCTTCCTGCTGAGCAGGGAGCCCGATGTGGGACTCGATCCCAGGACCCTGGGATCATGACCTGAGCCGAAGGCAGACGCTTAACCAACTGAGCCACTCAGGCACCCCTGTTTTCATACATTTTTTATCTATATGTATTATATGCTCTGTAAGACATTACTATATTTGTCTTTTAAACGGTCCATTATCTTTTAAGGAGATTAGCAGATGAGAAAAATATTTAGCCAGATAGTTACCATTTCTAATCATCTTTATTCTTTAAAAAAAAATTCTTATTGTGGTAAAGTATACATATTTATCATCTTAACTGGTTTTTTTGTTTGTTTTTGTTTTGAGAGAGAAAGGGTGGAGAAAGGGAAGAAGGAGAGAGAGAGAATCTTAAGCAGGCTCCACGCTCAGCACACAGCCTGACACGGGGCTGGATCTCACAACCCTGAGATCATGACCTGAGCTAAAATCAAGACTTGCACACTTAACCAACTGAGCCACCCAGGTGACCCCCCATCTTAACTGGTTTTAAGTGTACAATTCAATGGTATAAAGTAACATCCACACTGTTGTGAGGCCATCACCACCATCCACGTCCAGGACCCTCTTCATCTTGTAAAACTGAAACCCTATGCTCACGATAACATAATAAAGACTAACTCCCTGTTCTCCCCTCCGTGCCCCACCCCGATAATGGCAACCACCCTTCTACTTTCTGCCTTTATGGTTTTGACTACTCTCAGTACCTCATTTAAGTGGAATCACACAGTATTTGTCTTTTGGGGCCTGGCTTATGTCACTTAGCATCATGTCCTCAAGATTCATCCATGTTGTAGCATGTGTCAGAATGTCCTTCCTTTTTAAAGCTGGGGCGCCTGGGTGGCTCAGTCTGTTAAGCGGCTGCCTTCGGCTCAGGTCACGATCCCAGGGTCCTGGGATCGAGCCCCCATCGGGCTCCCTGCTCCGCAGGGAGCCTGCTTCTCCCTCTCCCTCCACCGGCCGCTCTGCCTACTTGTGCTCTCTCTCTGTTAAATAAATAAAAATAAAAAAAAAAAAATCTTTAAAGCTGAATACATCCAACTGTGTGTAGATAGCACATTTTGCTTCTCCGTTCCTCTGTTGGTGGATACTTGGTGGCTTCTACATTTTAGCCACTATGAATAATGCTGCTATGAACGTGGATGTATTAATATCTCTTTGAGCCCCTGCTTTCAATTCTTTTGGGTATTTACCCAAAAGTGGAATTGCTGGATCATACAGTAATTCTATTTTTAACTTTTTGAGGAACTGCCATACTGTTTTCCACAGAGGTTACACCATTTTAGATCCTCACCAAGAGCACACGAAGGTTCTGATTTCACCACACCACCACCAACACCTGTTTTCTTGGGTCTTTTAGCCATCCTAATGGGTATGAAGTGGTATCTCGTTGTAGAGAAATTTGTGCTTCCCTAATGATTAGTGATGGGCATCTTTTCGTCTGTTTATTGGCCACCCATATGTCTTCTTTGGAGAAATGTCTATTCAAATCTGCCGATTTCTGAATCCAATGGTTTTTTTATCGTGACTTCTGGAAGTTATCCTCTTTTTTCTTTCATGTGGGCCAAGTTTCCATATGGTTATTATTTTCTTGCCTCTTGAAAAAAGCCCTTCAATATTTCCTGCAGTTTATTCCTCTGATGATAAATTCTCTCAATTTTGTTTGTATAAAATAGTCTTTCCTCCCTCATTTTTAAAATAAACTTGAATTTTTTAGAGCAGTTTTAGTTTCACAGCAAAATTGAAAGGAGGGTATAGAGAGTTCCCACATCCCCCCTTCCCCCCTCCTGCACAGCCTCCCCATCACCCACATCTCCCACAGGATGGAGCATTTGTTACAGGTGAGGAACCCACATTGATGCATCCCAATCACCCAGAGTCCATAGTTTATATGAGGGTTCACTCTTCGTGTTGTACATTCTCTGGGTTTGGACAAACGTGTGATGACATGCATCCCTCATGACGGTATCATGCTGAGTAATTTCACTGCCCTAAGAAATCCCCTATTCTCCGCCTGTTCATCCCTCCCTCTCCTTAACCCCTGGTAGCTACTAATCTTTTGACTGTCTCCATAGTTTTGCCTTTTCCAGAATGTCACATAACCAGAATCATACAGTATTGTGATTGGCTTCTTTCACTTAGTAAGGTGCATTTAAGGTTCCACCACTGGAAGGTTCTAAGCAGAGGAGGGACATGATCTGATTGAGGTTTTTAAAAGACCATCTGGCTACTGTGGGGATGAGAAGGGGGGGGCAGGCGGGGGGGGGGCGGTGCGTGGGGGAAGTAAGGAGGCAATTTCCGAAATCTATGCCGCAGGTGGTGGTAGCTTGAACCCAGAAAAGGAGAAAAAGGGACAGACACACGGACCAGAGTGACTGATAGACCTGGTGGGGGAGGGGAGACTGAGGGCAAATGAGGACCGGAGCCGGAGGATGGTGGGGGGTGGGGAAATGCTGGGAGAGGGGACAGGGCATTTTGTTTAGAGCCTATTAAATGTGAGATGCGTGACAGGCAGGAGATGCCCAAGGGGGCAGTTAGTAAGAAGCTGGGCCTCAGAAGAGAGAAGAAGGGAGAGATGAGAATTTGGGAGTCCTCGTTTACATTACATTTGTAATCCAGAGCCCTGGAAATGGGTGCCACCAGGGAACAGAGAGCGTGGGGAAGAAGAAAGAAAGGAAGGGGCCGTGAGGGAAGATGTGCCCATTATATAGCAGTATCCGTCCCGAGCACGGCGGTCGTAGCTGTTCAGTATATATTGGTGGAATGAAGGAAGGGCAGGGAGGAGCCATATAGGAGCACCAGCAGGAGGGTGGTGCGGTCAGCCCTGGCCACTCTCCTGGAAGAGGGACTGGGGAGGGCTCAGAGGCAGGGAGACCAGTTGGAGCGCAGAGTCCAGGGAGACACAGAGTCCAGGGAGACACAAAGTCCCGGCGTGAGCAGTGGAGAGTGGAAAGGAGGAAGGGAGTCGGGTGGAGCTGAAAATCCCACCCAGGCCTCCAGCTTGAGTGGCTGGTGGGCAGCTCTTTAGAGACGGGTGCACAGGGAGGGGCTGGGAAGTGAGTGAAGGGTATTCTATCTGAGGGCAAGGGAAGAATGCTGGTCCCGATCCCAGACCTGGGGAGGAGGGTGGTGTCACTCCGTAAGCCCATATTTCCCTATCACATCCTGATCCCTTTGTGGGGTCCCCCTACCTGGCAGCCCCACAGGTCATTTCTCAAGTCCCTCCACAGGTGGGATACACTGTTCTCATTCCTTCTGTGTGGCTGCCACTGTATGGCGATCAGGGGAATGACAGCCAAGGGGACCTCTTGCCAGGAGCATCCACCTCTTTATGCATTTGAGAAATATTCCTTGTGCACATACTATGTGTGCAGCACTGAGATAGGTGTGGGATACAGACAAATCTGAGATATAGCAGTGAGGAGAAAGGGCTTGAAATGGGCAAAACGGGGGTTTTAATTCTGATTCCGAGACATGCCACAGTGTGACTCTGGGCAAAGTCTGAGCTTCTTGGTTTGTAGAGCGAGGAAAAACGGCCCAGGCCACAGCATTGCGGGCTTCAGGGATTCTGTAGAGGAACATGCCCAGGGGACCACACCCAGGGGCAGGCTGAGGATGTGGAGGGTTCCCGGAGGTGCCACCTCCCTCTGCACACGTCCCTGCCATTCTGCTACCGTCTCTTTCCACTCCGTGTGTCTGAATGTGCTTTCTTCCCTTTTCCTGTTCCTTTTTCTGCCTCTCTATTGATCCTTCTTCTGCTCTTTGGGGCTCACTCTCTGTTTCTCTGTCTGTCTCTGTCTTTCTCCTTCCACTCTCTGCATCCACCTCTCTCCCCATCTCTGCTTTGTCTCTCTCTTCCTCTCGGTCTCTCCACTGCATCCCTTTTCCTGCCCCCGTCTCTGTGATGTCTTGGTCCCCCACCCTACTCTGCCCTGTTCTTTTCCCTCTGTCTTCATCTCTGCCCATCTCTGCCCCATTTCTACCTGTCTCTCTGTTTCTGCCACCTGTCCCCACCCATCCATCTCTCTGGCTATGTCTGTCCTCACCAGCCTGTCCAAAGCCGCTGACCTGGACCATCACTGGGTGGCCAAGGCCTGGCTGAATGACATCGGGCTGTCCCAGTACTCTCAGGCCTTCCAAAACCACCTGGTTGACGGGCGAATGCTGCACTCCCTGATGAAGCGGGACCTGGAGAAGCACCTCAATGTGTCCAAGAAGTTCCACCAGGTCAGCATCCTGCTGGGGATTGAGCTGCTGTACCAAGTGAACTTCAGCAGGGAGGTGAGGACCAGGGCAGGAGATGGAGGCATCTTCCACAGCCCTTCTTTCCCCACTGGCACCCATTGTCCATCCAACTATCTGCCCATCCATGCGTCTGTCTACACACGCATCCATCCACATGGCCATCCATGCATCCATCCACACACGCATCCATCCACCTGGCCATCCATGCATCCATCCACACACGCATCCATCCACGTGGCCATCCATGCATCCATCCACACACGCATCCATCCACCTGGCCATCCATGCATCCATCCACACACGCATCCATCCACGTGGCCATCCATGCATCCATCCACACACGCATCCATCCACGTGGCCATCCATGCATCCATCCACACACGCATCCATCCACCTGGCCATCCATGCATCCATCCACGTGGCCATCCATGCATCCATCCACACACGCATCCATCCACGTGGCCATCCATGCATCCATCCACACACGCATCCATCCACGTGGCCATCCATGCATCCATCCACACACGCATCCATCCACGTGGCCATCCATGCATCCATCCACACACGCATCCATCCACGTGGCCATCCATGCATCCATCCACACACGCATCCATCCACGTGGCCATCCATGCATCCATCCACACACGCATCCATCCCTCCCCCTCTCCCTCCCTTCTTCCAATAGCTGCTTACTGGGCATGGGTCAGGCCCTGTGTCCAATTCAGTAAAGGGGGGAACCCTCATCTTCCAAGAGTTCACTGCTCATCAGGGAGAACCACAAAGAAGCTGGTGCCACCATACCATGGAAAGTTGGCCCAATGAGGAAAGTCCAGGATTTTATGAAAACCCAAAGCCGTAGCTTCCAGAGGGATCAGGGAGGGCTTCCCCGAGGTAGCGACAGCGGGACTGGGAACTGAGAGAGGAATTCCAGGCATCAGTCAGCAGGAGGTGTGAGTGAAAAGCAACCTAACAGAGGGAACAGCACAAGCAAAGGCCCAGAGGACAGAATGTGTGGTCCCAGCGTTGGGTCTGAGGTGGGGGAGTGAACGGGGAGGCCAGCTAGGTGACCAGGGACCAGGGGGGAGAGTCAGAGTTTGGACTCTGAGTGCCCCCTTGATTCTGAGCCCTGCCAAGTCAGACAGCATGGGGGGCATCTGCTTTAGCTCCCCCAGGACCCAAAGATTCCCGAGGCCGCTGGGCCCTACAGGGCGGCGGCAGTCCAGACGGCTTACTTTTCCTAGAGTGAAGTCAGAGCACAAGCCGCCCAGGGTCAGGAGGAGAGGCCCAGAGGAGGGAGCTGTCCAGTTCTTCAGCCCTTCTCACACACCAGCCGCAGGGCCCTGGGCACCGGGAACCCCAGTCTGGTGAACCCCAGAGACATGCTGGAAGATCGTGACAGTGAAGTGTGAATGGGCATGGTCAGGGCACGTTGGAGGAATCCATAGACCGGGGGGTCCCTGGGTCCACCACCAGCCCAGAGCCCTTTGTCTGGGAGCCAGTCCCCCCAGGGAAGGCTGGTGAAAAGGGACCAAGCTGATCCCTCTACAGGTTGCCATGAGTGATGTTTTGTAGGTGACACTCGTTGCCTCAGGGGCTGGGTGGACCCACAGAAGACAGCCCCTCACGGAAGAGCCGCATTGTTGGGCCCCTACTCCATGTCAGGAAAGCGGGGGTCTGGGATATACAAACTAGGCAGCTGCTGGGGGTCTCACCCAGCCCTCCACCCCCAGAAGCAGGCTTCTCCCCATTTCCCAGAATGAAAAGCCAAGCCCCCGATGGACAGGGCCAGAGAACCCGGGGCTCACTGGCCAGAACTTCTCCTTGTACCAGCACGCCGGGGTCCCCCCAACACCGTGGATGCTCGCTCCTTGGGACCTCTGCATGCTCCCCCACCCCCAGCTGACCCACTGTCTCCCCCCTCCCCACAAGGCCCTCCAGGAGCGCCGCGCCCGCTGCGAGACACAGAACATAGATCCCGTGGTCTGGACCAACCAGCGGGTGCTCAAGTGGGTGCGGGACATTGACCTGAAGGTGAGGGGCTGGTGGGCGGGGATGGGCTGGGGGTGACTCACAGGCATCTGCAAATCCCATGCACATTTGTGTGTCCATTTTGCATGAGGCAGCGTTGTTGCCCAAGCTGGTGAGAAAGCCTGCCTCCTGTTTCTCAGGAAGAGGGAGCACCCACCCCACCCCTACAACAGGACCCCCATTCATGATGGCTTTCTCCCAGCAGGGGTGGAGAGGCTGGGCTGTCCTCTGAAGCAAGGCTGAGGTTGAATCCAGGCTCATCTCATTGGACAAGTTTTTATGGGCTGCCTGCCAAGATCTGGGGATACATCAGTGACAAAATAGTCTTAGTCACTGTCCTCATGGCCCTAAAAGAGTGGGGGGTTCCCCCTGAGCCTTATACTAACTGGTCCCCAGGGGAACAAGCCCTTGCTGTTGGGGGCATGTCCCCACTTGGAGCTGAGGGCACCTCAAGCCAGCAGGGCAGCTCCTCAGGACACCTCAGGACAACAGGGTGGTCCTCACAGCCTAACAGGGCAGGACACCAGGGCAGACCTGTCAAGTAACAGGGAGGCCCCCACCGCAGGCTAACCAGCCTGTGCCTTGCCCTCAGGAGTATGCGGACAACCTGACCAACAGCGGCATCCATGGTGCCGTGTTGGTTCTGGAACCCACGTTCAACGCCGAAGCCATGGCTACTGCCCTGGGCATCCCCAGCGGGAAGCACATTCTCCGGAGACACCTGGCAGAGGAGATGAGCGCCATCTTCCACCCAGCCAAGTGAGTGTGGGCTGCTGGCTTCGGAAGCAGGTGATCCTGACTTCCCCCTGGCCCCCTCACTTCCTGGATCCCACTTCTTCCCTACAACACAGTGGCCTCCTTTTATAGATCAGGAAACAGAGGTTCCAAGAAGCAAAGTGCTTTAGCCTGAAGGTCATAGTTGAAAAAGAGGTGGCCAGTCCAGGCAGGAAATGCTGTGGAGACAGAGGTTTGGATGCAGGGATGAGCATACTAATGGTGCTCATGGTCCAGATGAGCAGGCCATGTCAGCCTACCTACCCCAGGCTCCTCGTCTGGAAAGTAACCAGAGAGAAAGCACCTGGACAGACAAATTAGGCGCCCTCTCTGGGGATTCTCTCCTTAAAATATTTGCAGTTAAGCTAAAGTCACCATTTATTAGACACTTGTTATGGGCACTAATTTCATCCTCATGACAATACCAAGAAATCGGTGTCACTATCCCTCCTTTATAGATGGAAATACTTATTCAAAGGGGCAAGGTACTTGCCCAAGGTCACACAGCTAGTAAGGAGCAGAGCCTAGATTTGTCCTTTGCTCTATTAATATGGCATATTACGTTGATTTTCATACATTGGACCAACCTTGCATTCCTAGGATAAATCCCACTTTATCCTTTTTATATGTTGCTGGTCTAGGTTTGCTAGCATTTTGATGAGGATTTTTTGCATCTATATTTATAAAGGATGTTTGTCTGTAGGGGCTTTTTCTTGTGATATTTTTGTGTGGTTTTGGTATCAGAGTAATACTGGCCTCATAGGATGAGTTAGGAAGTATTCTCTCCTCTTCTGTTTTTTGTTTTGTTTTGTTTTTTTTAATTGGAAGAGTTTGTGAAGGATTGGTGTTCATTATTCCTTAAACATTTGGTAGAATTCACTGGTGAAACCACATGATCCTGGGCTTTTCTTTGTGGAAAGGTTTTGGTTTTTCGTTTTGGGGGGGGTTGGTTTTTTTCCTACTTCAATTTTATTTGTTACAGATCCATTCAGATTTTCTATTTCTTCTTGAATCAGTTTGAATAGGTTTATATCTTTCTAGAAATTTGTCTGTTTCATCTAGGTTAACTAATTTGTTGGCATACAGTTAGTTGATTTTATAATCATTTCCCTATAATCTCACTTCTTTCTGTAGAGTTGGTAGTACTGTCTCTTCTCTCATTCCTGGTTTCAATAATTTGAGTCACTCTGTAATTCTTGATCAGTCTAGCTAAAGCTTGGTCCATTTTGTTGACAGAACTCAGGTTTGAATCTGAGGCTCTCTGAGTCAGAACCCTGAGTGCTGAGCCCCCAAACCACATGAAGCCTCAGAAAGCATCTGGGCTACACCCCATGTTATACAGAAACTGAGGCTGAGTGGGGAATTGTGCATCCGTGGCAACAATCCAGAAGTCTTGAACTGCCCTGCCCCATCGGCAGGCTAATACTCAAGTGATTCTCAAAGTGAGGTCCACAGAGCCCTGCAGCAAAATCATTGGTACTCTTGTGAAATGCAGATCCCCTGGCCCAAACTCAGATCCCCAGGACCAGTATTTACTGGGAGAGCCCAGGAATCTACATTTTGGGCATTTTGAGGTAGTTCTATGGAGACCAGAGTTTGACAAGATCCCTATTCCTTGAGCCATAACCCAACAGGTACAGGAAAGAGGCTTTTCTCCTAAGAATTGTCCACCCTCCCTGACCTCCCTTCTGAAGCCATGTGACCTGTAATGGCCTTAATATATTCTGAGCCCTAGATAGGTAGCACTAGCTAAACATTAGCAGGCATTCATGTATCTGATTAAACCCTTGACCACCCCCGAGGTCACAGGTGCATTAAGGACTATCTAGGATTCGTGGGTGAGCACTGGGGACGTTTCTCGTGGGGCACAAATAGAGTAGGTTCTTATGTTGTTGGCAGGCCAGGGAGTCCCTTAAGAATGAGATGAAAGCAATCCTTCCAATATGAGGACAAGGAAGAAGAAAGTGGACTCAGTCCTCTCATTTTACAGACAAGGATCTGAGCTGGTCAGCCAGGGCACGGAGAGGCGATGTCTGTCCATGGCCCATGTGCCAGTTCTCCTTGGAGCCTTTGCTGAGAACTTGCCACAGACCATGGGAAGAGATTTTAGTCAACTTGGGGGAAACAGAATTTCATGGGTTTTTAAGAAATTTTAGAGACCACCCCTATTGGTGCAAGAGTCCCTAGCTAAGTAAAACACCAGTGGAGACAGTGATCCCCAGGCCTGGTTAATATCACCACGATATTTAACCACGTGCCCAGGATTATATTAACCAGGCTCTTCAGGCTTTGCCCCAGGACATCTCTGCAGTGGTCCAAGCGGTCAAGCTGCCCCGTCCACGGCCCTCTTGCTCCCTCTCCTGTTGCTGACTTCAGCTTTCTGGAGAGAGAGGGGGCAGGGCAGGTGGTACTGGCCCTTTAGGGTGAGTGCTTCCAGAAGGCTCTGATGGGTTGGAAAGATTCAGATGGAGAAACATCGACCATTGAATAGCTATCAAGGGCTAACCCAAGACTCCATCCCAGACTGAATCCAAGGCTGGGGGAGCCTGATGGAAAGATAAGGCGAAATAATGCATAAAGCAATTGGGAGAGGAACCCAGGCATGGTGAAGCACCCAACAACGCAACTACTATCAATTATTTTTCCAAACCCACTACCAGCACCTCCGTGGCTGCCGCTCTTTCTTCCTCCACAGGGAGATGGCTGGAATGTGGGTTCCAATCCTGACTATGCTGCTTTCTACCATGTTAGACACAGCAGGTGATTTCAGCCCTCTGAACCTCAGTTTCTCATCTGTAATATGGGAATATGAGTCCTCCCTCCCTGCAGCTTTGTTAACAGGATTCAGGGAGGCAAACTGTTATGCAGTGCACCGGACACAGACCCCCCACAACAACTGATAGTTCGTGCCCCCCAACTTCACACGAGCACTGGAGTATCTCCATGACGTGCTTTCCTCTGGAACTGGTTACATGGGGCCCCCCTTCCTGTCGATGTGCTCCATCTTTCTCCTTAGCATTTCAGTGGGGAAGAGCAATTCCTCTATGAACTCTGAAAGATTTTACCATCAAGCACACAGAGTAAGAGGCCTTGTCATGTCTCCCACCTCGGTGGCTGGCAGGCTTCCCAAGCTGCAGAGTCGGGGGAGGGGATTCTCCCGGGGTGGGGGGCACACTGGGATTTTCAGGCACCCATGACAAGGTGATGTGTTATGACATTCTGTCCACCCAACCCCGAGCAGTCATTGAAATGTGAGCATAGAGACCAGGCACTGGGGTGGTTCAGGGGTGGTCCCATGTAAAAAGGAGCCACAGCAGGGCCTTTGGGGGCTCAATTCTGGCTCCTCCATCATTATCCTCTCTGTGATTTTAAGCAAGAAATTTGCCCCCTCTGAGCCTGTTCCCTCAACTTGAAATGGGGATAATCACTCCTTCTCAGGGTTTCTGGAAGGGTTCAAGGACCTCAACTCCGTCCTTACAGCAAGAAAGCAGGCTATGACAACATGTAAACTAATGGGCATGTCTGGGTTCCAATAAAACTTTATTTGCTAAATCAGTCGGCTGGCCAGCTCCAGCCTGCAGGCTGCAGTTTGCCAAATCCTAGTCTAAGAGAAGCCTTTGATGCTTTAACACAAGGAAGGGAGTAATGGGGTCACTTCAGGCAAGAAGTCAATGGTGGGGGTGGGGGACACAGATTTCAAACGCAGAGTGGGGAAAATTTTCCTGGTGCTTCTCAAGTCATGCCAGTGAGCTCAAATGTGGGGATTCTCCCATCCAGTCTTCCCTTCCTGGTAAGGTTTGCCGCACGCTGGAGGGGGAAGAGCGCGACCTTGGAGTCTCACAGACTTGGATTCAGATCTTGGCTCTGCTGCTTGCAGCTGGGTAATCCTGGGCAAATCGCTTAACCTCTCTGAGCTGCCCCCCTTTTGCCCCAACTGTCATGCAGGGATTTTGTGAGGATTGCTTTCGTAAAGTGCTTAGCACGGCGGGGGGCGGGGGGGGGGGGGCACATAGGAGGTCCGCAGTAAATCACAGCGGTTATGGTCATTGTCACCCATGTGAGTATGACCGTCTCTGGGGGGTGGCAGCTGACTCAGTATGGATCTCTCCCCAGCTCCTCAGGCATCCGGGAGGCCGAGCGTTTCGGAACACCCCCAGGGAGGGCCTCCAGCATCACCCGGGCGGGGAAGGAGGAGAACAGCGGGGGTATCAAGTACAAGGCTGGCCGGGTAAGTCACTGGATGCCTTCACCTGTGAGTCCTGCAGCCCAGGGAAGGTCTTGTTGTCATCTGGGCCCATGGCGGCCCCTCCCAGCTCCTCTCTTGGCCTGTGGAGGAGGACCGATGGGCCAGGTCACAGATGCAGCCAGGAGGGAGGAAGCAGCCTCCAGTTGACCCGCATGATGCTTAAGCCCCTGCCCCCACCCCCCAGGCTTAGAGTAGCATCTCGAAGTGGAGGTCTCACCTGCCCACATCAGAATCACCTGGCCAGTTGCTTACCAGGCAGATTCTGGGACCCACCTGGGTCTCGAAGCCAAGGGCCTCAGGGGTGAGGGGGAACCCTACATGCAGCCAACCTGCCCAGACTCTGAGAACCACTGACTTAGCTTTTGAACTTTGGTGATCTGACCAATAGCAGCAGATTAGCCTCCGGTCTATGAAAGTGCGTGCAGTTTGCCTGTGTTCACACAGACTCAGACTGACCCAGATTCCTAAATGGAAGTGTGTAGGCACAGATGGGAGAAGTGGATAATCCAAAAATTCTTCTGTTCATTCAGCAAACACTTTTTGGACACTGACTGTGTTTGAGGCACAATCCTGAGCATGAATGGGAATAAGCATGAATAAATTCCCACCCTTACTCTTACGGTGCACTCAGTCTAGAACACGCAGTCTCGAATGGGGTGAAAATGGGTTCTTGGGGGAGGGGCAAACCTGTCACTCTCTCTCTCTATGAAGAACAGGTATACATATGGGACATTAACAGAAGCACGGTGTATCTGTGGTGTGAAAATTTCATGGTGGCGGTGTCATTAGGGGGATATATCTTAAAAGGCTCCTTTTTTTTTGAAGATTTTATTTATTTATTTGAGAGAGAGAATGAGATAGAGAGAGCATGAGAGGGGGGAGGGTCAGAGGGAGAAGCAGACTCCCTGCTGAGCAGGGAACCCGATGCGGGACTCAATCCCGGGACTCCAGGATCATGACCCAAAAAGGCTCCTTTTTTAAGGTGGCAACATTGAACAAAAGGTTGAGGAACACTGGTCTGGAAACTAAAGCCATCGAAGAAATAAAGCAGTACAAAGCGCTATCAGGATTATTCTCATGGAGAGATGTTCAAAATAAGAGATAAATGCATACTGAGAGCCTAATGCATATAACCACAATAGCTGCCCTTGGCAAGCACCACGCTGTGTGCTTTACAGATCTGATTTCTACTCTTTACAACTCCTCTGGGAGAAAGGAATTGCTGTTCTCACTTGGAACCTGAGAAAATGGGGGCTCAGAGAGGGCAGGTGACTGGTCCGGGGTCACACAGCTGGGAAGTGACAGAGCAGGGATCCAAACCCTGGTTTGCGAGTCTCCACAACACCTGCTCTTTCTGCCACACCAGGAGGTGCTAGAATATTTCTTCCTGACCTGGGAACGCAGTCAGACTTCATGCCCGTGCTCAAACATTCTCACCTCTCCTCCATCGTACCCATTCTCAACTCTCCTCCCGCTGAGGAGGGAGATGCGAGACTTTTGAGGACAATCAGAAAGACTATATTTGTCCTCACCCTTAGCAACCGACCAGTTCCTTCAGTTGGGAACATGAAGCTCTCTCCTAAGGTTAGCTCACAAAATCCTCTCAGTGCTCTGGGCAGCAGAGTATGATTACTAATAGGAGGGGCACAGAGAGGTTAGACAAGTCGCTTAAGGTCACACAGCAATTAGAACGGGGGACCCCACATGCCCCAGATCCCAAACACTCAGTTCCTCTTCTCTTCTCCCCACCCTTCCATCTCATTTCTCTCTTCTCAGCTGCCCCTGGGGAAGATAGGAAGGGGCTTCAGCAGCAAAGACCCCGATTTTCATGACGACTATGGCTCTCTTCAAAATGAAGACTGTGGAGACGATGATCCCCACGGCAGGCTGGAGCAGTGCCGTCCGGAAGGCTACAATGGCCTCGAGGTCACCAACGTGTAAGGAGCGGACGCCCCACCAGACCCAGCATGGACACCCCCACCGAGGATGAGTAGCCCGACGCTGCCACCACTGTACCTAGGGACCGTGGGCCGAGGATGCTCCCCTGCCCCCAGGCAAAACCCCAGCAGACTACTGCGGTTTCAGATGGGGGCTCCAGGGAACAAGGAGGCACCAGCCTGCCTGACTCGAGCTGGTTGTGCACCTTCCTGCTCGGTGGAAGGACCTGTCAGCCCAGCCTCTCTGTCACCTGGGCTCCCCCTCAGAGTGACTGAGCCACTGAGCAGTCCAGGCGGTCCCTGGAGCCTTGAACTGAGCTGCCAAGGTGGGAGGAGGCCGGCGGTTCCCCCAAACACTCTCCCCAGAAGGAGCAGGCGGGACTCCAACCAGACACACAGTGCTGGGAGCCAGCAAAGCCTGAGGCTGACCAGTGGGCCCTTCTGGCCAGCCCGGTGGAGCTCTTGGCTCCAGTAGCCATGCCCCCCATGACTGAGAACTCCGGTTCTGACTTGGGTCACTGAATCTCTCTTGGGAGAATGCACAATGGGATGGTCATTCCCTGCTACCCTAAAAGCTGTGTGTCGCATGGGGCTGGACATGTAGAAAAGCTATTTGCCTTCTCCTCCCATGAGTGGCTGCACTGGGTGGAGGCAGGTGGATGATCCAGGCAGGGGCGGATAAAGAGATGGATAGGTTATATGCACTAGGCTCTCAGTATGCATTTATCTTGGTAGTGGCATTTCCATTAAATGCAGATTTCCTGTCATCAGGATAAAGGATATCCTGAGGATAGGAGTGGGGATGATGGACTTAGGTCAGTGACAACCAAGAGTGACGGTGGGTTTGGGATTGGGAGCAGGGAAATACTTGTCATTGTTGACCCAACAGACATTTGTTGTGATTTCTCGGTCACCTGAAACAGGTGTGCACATCAGTGCCCTCATTGAGGTGAATCTTGCAGAGAAAGTCATCAAGGTGGTGGAGAGAACCCCCAGCCCTTTTCCTGACTCTGCCACTGTTCTGCTATGTGGCTTCTTCCCAGTGGCCCCACCTCTCTGTGCCTCAACGTCTTCATCTACAATACTCCAGGTTCCCTCCCAAGGATGCTATGAGAATTAACACTTGCTAATGTCTATAACACACTTTGTAACCTCTCAGGAGACAGGTGGGAAGGTATGGGGACAGAAGAAAGCACCCGATTTCCCATTTATGACACAGAACTGACATTGAACTAGTCCCTCTGCAACTGTGTTCTGGTTGGGGCCACGTGCAAAAGGAGGACAAGGAATGTCTAATGTTCAGACTCTCTAGAGCCCCCAATAAGGCTTGACCAAAGAGAGAGAGAGAAAAGTCCACGTACACCACCCTGGAAAATCGTTCCAATTGATGTGTTCAGGATTGAGTCTGTTGACCTCGGTGCTGAGTGATGATTTGGGAGGGATGAAATGCATTGGGGTTCTACGGACACTTGGGTTATCAGAGAGAATCTTTTGTCGGGACCACAACATTGAAGCCATTCGCCCAAGAGTCAGTGAGAGGTCTGAATTCCCAAGACTTGAACAGGTAGGTGTCAGCCTCTGAGAATCATCAAAGCACATGTTCTTCAACCCAATGAACCGTTTCCCCTCATAGGAAAAGCCTAAACCGAGGCCTGATGAACTTGAGAATGATTCCTCCCCAACGCCGAAGACCATGGATTTCTCTCTGACCTTAGGATAAGCACAGCTTTTCTTGCCCCTGGAGACCAAACGCCTAGACGGTGGACAAGTGGATGGCTCCCCTTTCATTTGACTATTTAGCCTCCTAGGGTCACATCTCCAATTCCAGGGCCTGAGGGAGAAGCTCTGGTATCTAACATGACTTTGCTGAGGTTCCAAACTCCAGGATCTTAATGACATGCAGCCACACATGGGGCCTGAAGATGCAGAGCCCACAGCCTGGAGGGGGGCTCCCCTCTAACCTGATGCCACAGGTCCCTCCCAAGCCAGCATCCAGGCTGGGTGACCCAGGACCCCAGGATCTGCCTCTTGGAAGCAGCAAACCAGGCGGGAAATTATTCCCACAGGGTGAGGGAGGATGGCACGAGGGGGCCCACATGCAGCTCTGACTATTTAAAGCCAACATTTGTCAGAAATGAAGCTGGCACTCCCCCCCCATTCATTCCCATTGGGGATAAGATGGGCAAGTGGACAATTTGGGGGGTTACTGGTAGGGATGACATTGCCCCCCAGATTTGCAGCGCTAGGCCAGCAGGCCTGGGGCAACATGGACAACTTCGAAAGCACCTTTCAGTCCAAATGGTACCCTAAGGCACATTCTCTCCCGCCCGATGCTCCCACCCTTGGCAGCCAGCTGAGTGTTTGGAACTGGCTTTTCAACACGAGGACAGGTTGGTTGATAAATTAACAACCTCCACACAGAGTCAGATCAGGTGAGCTTTGTCTGCTGAAAAAAAATCCCAGACGTCAGCCCTGCTTCAAGGGTGGGCAAGAAGAGCAGGGGTGCAGAGGGACTTAGCAGAGAGATTCTGGTAGTGAACTGACTAAGGCTGACGGAGCGGCCACCTACAGAACAGTGACCTGCCATGTCCTGTCCAAAGGGCCCGAGTTGTGGTCTTGGGCCTTAAAGGGTGATAGGGCTTCCAGACCTGGGAAAGCATGAACGTGCTTCTTGGAGAGGTGTCCTCTGCGCCCGTGGGTGCTAGCCCCTTAAGAAGAGGTAGTTGGTGCCAGAGGTTGGGGAGAACCCCAGTAGGCAGAGACACCCCGTATTTCTCCGAGAAGCTGGGGGCCAGAGCCCTCAGAAGGCACCTGCCCAGCAGACTCTCAGCTTCCTGACCCCAGACCCCTCTGAAAGGCCCCTTTGTCATTAGCTGCGCAAAGCTTCTCTCCTAGAAATCTGTCTGTCTGTCACCAGGGCCCAGGCTCTAGGAGGCAGGAAGAAGCCACATGAAAACCTGGAGCAGATGCGGGAGAAGGGAAGGGGCCTCCGCACAGCCCAGCCGGCACGGGAGGGGGGGGGGCGGGGGGTGCTCAGAACAGTGACCTCACATCTTGAGGCATCGAGCAGGGCTGCATGCGACAGAACGGGAAGATCTGGCAGGACGAGACTTCGGTGTCCGCTGCGGGGGCACCTGGAGCCCTCTATTTCTCCAAGCCTAGCCCGCCCCGCTTCCCGTCGAAACCTGTCCGTGCGGGCACCACCTCCTCCAGGCTCTGGCGGGCTCCCGGCAGTGGCCCGGCAAGGAACAGAAAGCCTGGGGACACAGCAACTTCCGAAGCCAGCATTATTACAGACGGCTGGCTGGCGAGAAGAGTTTCCCAACACAGAGGCAGCTGTGGTTACAAAGGGAACAAGGTTATCCATGAGCAGAGGTGATGTCCCTGGCCTTTCAGTTGCTTGTCACAGCCCCGTGTCTTCCCAGGGGTAAATTTTAACACTGTAACAATAAATACTACTGCACAGCGCTCGACTGATCAGCCTGTTCCTCTCATTTAATCTTGCCAACAGCCGCTTTGAGAGAGATTACCGACCCATTTCCTAGATGGGGAAACTGAGGTTGGGGAGGCGGAGGAGCTTACTCGGCTCCATAAAGCTAAGAATTCCCAAGGCAGGGACTCAGACTCAGTCATCTGCCTCCCAACCCCAGGCTCATCCGACCCCACTGCGAGCTTCCTACCCTGCCGTGTCGGTGATCCCACCCCCACCCCCACCTCCCAGCATAGGATCTACCTCACCAGGTGGCATCGCTCAAAGTGGAGTTCAGATGCGCCCTGTCCTGCTGGAAAAGTCTGGGGCCTATCCTCCCGATGCCAGGACCCCGATGCCGGGAGGGAAGCATCTGATAAGTGACCCCTCCCTTAGCATCAGTCGCTTGCCCATGTCACTCCTCTCGGGGTACTTATTTTCAGACGGCCAGAACAGATCTCCAGTGATTGTGTCAGCCTGCCGTGACGAAACATCACGGACTGGGGGCTTACACAACAGACACTTGTTTTTCCCAGTTCTGGAGGTTGTGCGTCCGAGATCCAGGTACCAGCTGATGCCGTTCTTGGTGAGGGCTCTTCCTGGTTCACAGAAGCTCACCCGTGGCCGGGGAATTGATTGCAGACAGTGGTAATATGGGGGGGCGGGGACTCCCGGGGGACCCTTGAACTGAGACCTAAGTTCTGAGGAGCCAGCCCTGCCAAGACCCTGGGGGAAGAACATTCCAGGCCGTCAGAACTGAGCCAGTTATAGTGGTGAATGAAGTCCTGCCCAGCCTCTGCCCTTGCAGACAGTCCGGGGGGGAAAAGAGACACAAACCAACTACTCGAGCAATGTGAGAGTGTAACCATGACCAGTCTTGAGAGCAGAGGTAGCTCATAGTTGGGAGGGCTTATCACATGGGCATTTAATGTAGTCAAGGGGAGGTGAGGCCTGGATAGAGGAGAGTTCAGCAGGTGAAGAGGAAAGGGAAAAGGATTCTAGATAGCCAGGACACCATGTGCAAAGGTCCTGTGGTAGGAGGGCCAGAATAAATTAGGCTGAAAAAGGGCCCACATGGCTGGGAGAGAGAAGTGAAGGGCTCATCTCCTGAGAGTGCTGGAGGGACCTGCTCGGTTCCTGCCCATCTGTGTCACCCTGATTGCAAGCAGTGCTGCCTAACTGGACATGGAGTCTCCACCTTTTGCAGATGGGTCCCTCCTTCCGCTTGCTCTAGCTTGTGGCTAAATTGGGCTCCTTGGGTCACAGAATGACACAGTGGGCCCACGAGGTGGCACCAGGGCTGTGAGGGCAGAGCTGACCTGAGGCCAACAGAGGTGTCAGGTGCCTCTTTCATGACCCCAAGTAGAAATCTGAGATGTCTATATGAAGCTGTGCTGGTCAAAAGAGGACCTGGTAGTTCTAGCAGTCTCGGGGTGGAATCTCGTTGGCTCAGTTGGATGGGGTCTCCAGCCTACCAGGGGTGGGGGCAGCCCACCGGGTCCAATGTCCTGAGGGATGAGTGTCCGCGGCTCTTAGGGGACTCTGGCAGAGGGGTGCTTTAATGTGGCCCAAAGGCTTTCTCCTTCCCTGATAGAGGTCTCCTCTCCCTAGCAGTGGGGCAAGAATGGATCCCAGGGGAGACGACCCCCTGATATTCACAGAGTGAAAGAAACTTGAGTCCCAGTACCCGGCAGCTCACAGAAGCACCAGTGACAGATTCAAGGATTCAAGGTCGGACCCAGAGGTCAGACCTAGTAACAGACAGCCTTGACCAGACACGTGCCCTGTCCTTTGCCACAGGGTTTCTCAACCTCGGCACCATTGACATTCGGGACATACTTTATCAGGGGGCCTGCCCTGTGCATTGCAAGATGTTCAGCAGTGTCCCTGGCCTCTACTCAGTAGATGCTGGTATCACCCCCACCATCCAGTCATGACAACTCCCACATTTTTTCCGACATCACCAAATGTCCCCTGGGGAGGCAGAATCACACCCCCCCCAGCTGAGAATCACAGCTGGATGTGTTTTTGCCCTTGAATCCCACCCCCCCAGCAACTCCTTCAAGTAGGCATGGCTTTTCTCGTCTGACAGATGGGGAAACTGAGGCATGGGTCGGTTACATAGATTCCCAGTACGGGATTCCCAGTAAGAGTTTGCTAGCGCAGCCATAACAAAGTGGCTTAAACATTGAAATTTAATGTCTCACAGTTCTAGAGGCTAGAAATCCAAGATCAAGGTGCCAGCAGGGTTGGTTTCTTCTGAGGCCCCTTTCCGTGGCATGTAGACGGCTGTCTTCTCCCGGGGTCCTCACATGGTCTTCCCTCGGCCCCTGTGTCCCCTCTCCCTCTTCTTATAAAGACACCAGTCATACTGGATTAGGAGTGAGTGGGAGCGGGGAGCAGACTGGCTCTTGGCAGAGTCTGGGCTCAAAACCAATGGCCTGAGGCTGGCCAGTCACACCCAGCTTTTTTTTTTTTTTTTTAAGATTTATTGCACAGAGAGAGACCCAGCGAGAGAGGGAACACAAGCAGGGGGAGCGGGAGAGGGAGAAGCAGGCTTCCTGCGGAGCAGGGAGCCCGATGCGGGGCTCGATCCCAGGACTCTGGGATCATGACCTGAGCCTAAGGCAGACGCTTAATCGACTGAGCCACCCAGGCGCCCCCACAGCCAGCTGTTTACCATAAAAAATTCCTAACGCCAAATGTTCCCCGGGCAGAAAAGCCTTCCTCTATACTAAGTACGACATTGGAAGCTGGATCCGCTCCCTCTGCCTGGCAGAAAATTGCTCTGTAAATTACAGGGTTGAAAGCAACCCCTCGAGCTCCTGACTTAGAACAAGGTAATAATTTAGGGACTAGAACGGTCTGGTTGAGTGAGTTCCTATAATAGCTAATATCACACCACACGCCCATCATGCCCATTTTATTAAAACACAAACAAACAAAAAAATAGGAAACAGCATAGGTTTGGGACACTCGCCCAAGACCTCGTAGAAAATTCGTGACAGCAGCTGAGGTGTGGCCCTCCTTCCTCTTCCAACCCCGCTGGGAGTCGCAGAACGGGCCGGGGACTCTGTCCCTGCAGGCTCGGCCACAGACCCAGGCTATGTGGTCCGAGGCCAATTCCTTTCCAGGTCTGGGCCTCCCTATCTCTGTTGAGCATGCTTTCCCCTCCTCGGCCAGCCTTGGAGGATTGCTCCACCTTCACTTCTGGGGGTGGGGCTGATGGGGGGCTCCCCTTGCCCTCTCCACCTCCACTACCTCCATCCCCACCCCCACCCCCACTCGTGCCTTCAGGGAGGTCACAGGATCCTGGCTGGACCTATTCCAGCCCTGTGGGCCCCAAGGCCGTGCAAATGGCCCCAGGAGTAGGCGCTGAGGTCTGAGAGGGGAAAACCAGAATGCTTTTACCCAGATGGTTCCAAACAGGGACTGCTAGCTTAGCTCTCCCTTTCCTTTTGGATCGTGAGCCATAAGATGTGCCCCTGAGTTGCAGGCTGCCGTGTCCCTGCCACAAGAGAACGGGACCAACCCAGGGCCAGAGTACAAGACAGTTGAAGGCCGCAGGGAGGATCATATATTCTCTGGATCAACCTGTCGCTGCCAGATCCACCCTTGCTTCCTGAGACCCTAACCCCCCGCCCCACTCATCCCTCTTTGCTTCCCTGTATGAGTTTGCTAGCGCAGCCATAACAAAGTGGCTTAAACATTGAAATTTAATGTCTCACAGTTCTAGAGGCTAGAAATCCAAGATCAAGGTGCCAGCAGGGTTGGTTTCTTCTGAGGCCCCTTTCCGTGGCATGTAGACGGCTGTCTTCTCCCGGGGTCCTCACATGGTCTTCCCTCGGCCCCTGTGTCCCCTCTCCCTCTTCTTATAAAGACACCAGTCATACTGGATTAGGACCCACCCTAATGGCTTCATTTTAACTGAATCACCTCTTTAAAGATACTGTTTCCATGCACAGTCCATTCTGAGGGTGAGGCTTGCAACATGTACATTTTGGGGGGACACAGTTCAGCCCATAACACTCTCCCCCATTCACCCCCCCCTCCCCCGGCCTACTTAAGTCAACATGAATTGGGTTTCAGTCTCCTGACCCTTGAGCCTCCATTAAGCTACACGCTATCCACCGGGCTTGACCCCAAAACGCCCCTGTCCCTTCTCCTAATCTCTACATATGCCACCTACCTGTGTGCGCGCACACAGCCTCCCCTCAACACGTCAAACCCTCTATCTGCACTACACAGAACAACATAGAAGGATGAAATGATTTTTAAATCTTTTTTTTTTTTTAACTGACCTAATCTTCCCAGCTAGAGCTGCGCCCTCCCTTGAGCCTGTGACATTGCATTTGTGGGGACGACACTGCCCTGTGTCTCCTCACTACCACACCACCATCTGGACACCCCAAGGGATGTCACCCCTCTTTTGGTTTCCTGATGGCGTTTCAATGCCACTCTGTTCCGCGGCCAGGCAGGACCACTCCGGCTCTAGCCCGCCGTAGCGGTCAGTCCGGAGCCAAGAGGATGGAGCCAATGTCATCCTGACAACACTGAGCCCAGAGCACCCAGAGCAGGGCTCTGTGGGGGGCCCCACGGAGGCAGCCGGCATGCAGCACCATCCATGCGAGAGCCAGGGACGAGTCTCTGGCCTCAAGTGATGGACAAAAAGAAACACATAACATGGAAGCCGGTGTGAGGGGAAAAAAACACACAAGGCAAGGGGAGAAGACAGCAGGAGATGCTCGGGAGGTGGGCACGGCGCCAACAAGGTGGTTCTTTTGCTCCTTCCCTCTCCGGAACCACCCGTGGCTCTGGTTTCGTGGCCTCTTAACTCCGTGAACTCTAGCGTCAGAGTCATCGGCAGCCTTGGACTGACTTGTTAAAGATGCCAACCCCCTTCACAGAAGCACCCAGAGTGTGGGGGGTGTGGGGTGCAGTCTGCATTCGTGGGAAAAAGCAACCTGCAGCATCACCAAGATTGATCTTCAGACCCACGCAGAATGTTCCTCTGAGGCTGGATTCCCCAAGACCACCCTATTTCTGCCACATCCACAGACCTGCCCCATAAATACAGGCCTGATGTCTCAGTCCAGCTGGCTGCCCCCTTCTCGTTGTGTCCATCATCCTGGTTGGCAGGAGGGGCGAAGGA